TTTTGCATTTGGTAGTTTGTGGAACAGACATAGTCTCTATGTTAAAGTAGCTAGATGATACAGTCACTATGTGTTGTAATTTATATAAACTACATGCAGACGGTTAGTTAAGCCAGTCTGTCTGCCTGGTTAGTCAAATACTAACTCTACAAAGAATATGACGTCTCTTTTTAGCAGGTTAGGTCTACCCTAAAACTCAGCCAATTAGCTATGAATCCTATTCTATTCTGTGGACACCACTTAGACAGCCAGCCATTCAGTGACGGCAATCTACTTTATTCACTGGCATGCAAAAATATGAGCACCCTGATCCAAATTTCTTTCACTGTGCATAACTAAGCAATTGAAACATGACCTGACTTCCAAAAGGCATAAAGTTAAAGACGACAAATTTCTAAATATTGTAAGCAAGATTTTTATTTTCATATTTTAGTTTTAAAAAAACAAAACAAAAAAAGGAAAAAGACCTGAAGCAAAAGTTTGGGCACCGCACATGGTCAGTACTAAGCAACAGCTTGTAAATGCTTTTCAAGTCTTTAAATTCTTATTTTAGGGATTTTCAGCCATTCTTCCTTTCTGAAAAAAAATCACAGATTGAATACAATCCATTCCCCTATCTACCAGTGAAATATTATTCAGCATCCTTTTATCTCAAAATACATTTCCGCACCTTTTTTATCTTAAAACATACCTTTGCTCATTTCAGCCGAAGTGTTGTGTTCACCTCTACAGAACTTGTTTCCAAAATGCTTGTTTAGATGTTTATTTGCAAACTTTAGACACTGAATTTTGTGTTGAGGACACAGGAACATTTTTCGCCTCGTGTCTCTTCCGTTAAGGCCGAACAGTGAAAGACGACTCCAGAGTCTGCTACATCTTCCTGAAGGTCTTTTGAAGTCAAACAAGTTTTTGATTTGCCTTTCTCGTAAAATCCTGAGCAATTCCCTCTGACAGTTGTTAAAATTATCTTATACTAACAGAAATATTACATGTCTAGTAGAAAGCAAGAAGCAAGGATACTGAAATTTGATGCCAGAAATGTTGTGTATAAATATAAGTGTAATAACAGAAACAAAAGGAGAGCTTCTTTCTCCTTCCCCAGCAATACAGTGCATCAAAGCTATTCAAACATCCCTAAATGGTAAACACTGTTCTTCTATTTTTGAAGCACATAAAAGTACATTGTTACTGTTGTTAATACTCCTAACTCATCATACCTAACTCAAATATGCAGTGCAACTAGACAAAAACAATCTTTGTCTATATTATAGTAGTGCCTTATGACTAAATAGTTGACCTTGTAAAATATCAATGTTGCCTCAATGTAACACTTGACAATTTTGACAACTTAAAAAAAACGGAAACATTTCCAACAAAGGTTGACAGGTGACTAATCCAAACTTATCACCCAAGAATCTTGTCTTTAGTGCAACCGCAGGCTTAACACAATCTCAAAGCGTATTGACTGACATCAGCAGAAGGTTTTTAAGTAATTAACTTTAAGTCTTAATTTCAGGGATTTGTGTCCAAGGCAGGGGCTCTGTCACGCTTGTTCTGTTGTCAACCTAGCAGCTAGCTGTTGAGTGTACTTTGTTGTACACTCGATATTGAGGTACATTATAGGACTGAATAGCTATACTCAATTTCCACTATGGTTTCAGACACCACTACAAATAGCTGTATCTGGAAAGATTCTGTAGGAAGATGTTATTTTTGGCAAAGCAAGATTCCATAAATTATTAAATTAAGGGGAGCCAATGACCGTAGCGCATAAATATTACACACACATTTTACTTTAAAGGTTAGATTTTACCTTACCTTTAATGAAAATTGAAAACAAAGCACAGCCAAGTCAATTTTAACACCCTGTGTTGCTCGTTTAAAGGGACAGTTCACCCAAAAATGAAAATTCAGTCATTAATTACTCACCCTCATGTCGTTCCAAACCTTTGAAGACCTCCGTTCATCTTCAGAACACAAGATATTTTTTGATGAAATCTGAGAGCTTTCTGACCCTCCAGAGACAACTACCACGTTAAAGGCCCAGAAAGGTAGCAAGTACATCATTAAAATAGTCCACGTGACACCAGTGGTTCAACCGTAGTGTTATAAAGCTTGCAGAATTCATGGATCGGTGTGAACGGGGATTGTTTTGACAATGTTGCTGTCCGTTTTAAGTACATCGTTTTCGTGCAAACATACCCAAAGTCCTCGGAAATGGAAACAAACCAAACTAAAGCCTAAAAATACATCTTACTACAAGTGTAAATAAAAAAAATATTGTTGCAGGAACCCAACTCTTGCACATGTATTTTGTTATTAAAAGAAACCGTAATTGTTGTTAAGTTTAATAAAAGGAATTTAATGCAAAGAAAAATGCGTAAGACAGTATTATTCACAAAGCTTTTCATATACAATGGTAATGTGCATTGCTTCAAAGCTTTACAGAAAATGCTGAAGAAATATCTACCAGGTCACCATTGAGCAGTTCCAATTAGAGCTGTCTTAATATATTCATAATCATACCCACAGCAAGCCAAAAGCAAGTTCTTCAAAAGGTGATTTCATAACCTAGTTTCTCCCAAGGTTATGTAAGGGGTTTCTTTCTACACTGAGGGCATATTTAAAGGTACAGTATGTAATATTGATAGCTAGCGGCTGAAATGGGTACTGCTGTCCAAATATAAAATATCGTTTCTCCCGACCCTCTCCTCCTCAAACCTGATGCTCACGTGGGTTGTCAGATTGAAGACACGAAACAGGAATGAATTGAAAATGGAAGGCGACGAGCCGAGATGGCGCTCTAGGCTCGTTTTTAACCGCACACTCAAATGCTCACGAAGAAGAGCATAATGTGAGTGTTTAAATGTACTTGCACATCGGCTTTTATGATGCGAGGTTAATGTAAACACAACCCACTGTGAACATCCTTGTAATTCGCTTCAACTTTTTCAAACTTTATGAATGATTATTTTAGGTTCAAGTGGTGCTTGTGTAAGGAACTGGAAGCAAGCAGAATTCGGCAATCTCTAAAGCACGCAGTGCCATCTGCTGTGAAAAACTAAGCTCAGAATCGATTCGAGAGAGAATCGCGATGCCTTCGGAAAATCTCAGAATCGATGCGGAATCATTTCTCGATGAATCGATTTATTGTCCCCGCCCTACACATTATGGTATTGTTATGCTTTAATACCTACAGCGCCTTTAAGGACTCTCTTCAAAGTGAGTTTCTACATGACTCTGAAGGATTGCTTGACGACTGAAACTCTTTTCACACAAAGGACACGTGGAAGGCTTCTCTCCCGAGCGAATTCTTATCGGACTCTCAACGTCTACATTATTTGAACATTTCTCCTCACTTAGGTGGCATGTGAAAACTTCCTCCTCATTGTGAGTTCTCGTGTGCCACGTAAGGCTTCCTTTATGTGTGAAACGCTTTCCGCACTGTTGGCACGCGTAAGGCTTCTCTCCGGTGTGGATTCTCAGGTGATCATTAAGGTGTCCTCTATGAATGAAATTCTTTCCGCAGTGATGGCATGTGAATGGCCTGTCTACAATGTGAATTCTTACATGATCATTATGGTGCGCTTTTTGAATGAAACGCCGTCCGCTTTGATGGCATGTCAACGGCTTCTCTCCGGTGTGAGTTCTCATGTGTTCATTCAGGTGTCCTCTTTGATTGAAACGCTTTCCACATTGATTGCATGAGTAAGGATTGTCGTTAGAGTGAGTTTTCATGTGACACTTAAACGTTTTGTTACATGTGAATGTTTTTCCACACTGGAGGCAAGTTAATGGGTTCTCTTCGGTGTGAATTCTTCGATGAATCTGAAGTTTCCTTTTATACGCGAAACTCTTCCCGCACTCATTGCAAGTGAAAAGTCCTTCAGTGCGAGTTCTCAAATGCCACTTCAGGCTTCCTTTATGCGTGAAGCTCTTTCCACACTGATGGCACACAAACGGCTTCTCTCCGGTGTGAATCCTTAAGTGATCATTAAGGTGTCCTTTATGAAGGAAACTCTTTCCACACTGATGGCATGTGAACGGATTCTCGTCAGGATGCATTCTCGTGCGACGCTTAAGAGTTTCTTCGGGGTGAGTTCTCATGTGCCACGAGAGACTTGCTTGATGTGTGAAACACTTTCCACAGTGAGTGCATGTGTAAGGCTTCTCTCCGGTGTGAATCCTCAGGTGATCGTTAAGATGTCCTCTATGAATAAACCTCTTTCCACACTGAGGACACACGAAGGGCTTCTCTCCGGTGTGAATCCTTAAGTGAACATGAAAGTATGCTTTATGACTGAAACTCCTTCCACAGTGAGGGCATGTGAATGGTTTCTCTCCAGTGTGAACTCTTAAGTGATCATTAAGGTGTCCTTTATGAAGGAAACTCTTTCCACACTGAGGGCATGTGAACGGATTCTCGTCAGGATGCATTCTCGTGCGACGCTTAAGAGTTTCTTCAGTGTGAGTTCTCATGTGCCACGAGAGACTTGCTTGATGTGTGAAACACTTTCCACAGTGAGTGCATGTGTAAGGCTTCTCTCCGGTGTGAATCCTTAAGTGATCGTTAAGATGTCCTCTATGAATAAACCTCTTTCCACACTGAGGACACACGAAGGGTTTCGCTCCAGTGTGACTCCTCGTGTGAATATTAAGGTGTCCTTTATGATAGAAGCTCTTTTCACACTGATGGCACGGGAAAGGCCTCTCTCCAGAGTGAGTTTTTGTGTGTATATTAAGGTGCCCTTTATTTACGAAACTCTTTCCGCATGTAAAAGGCTTCTCTCCGGTGTGAATTCTTGCGTGAACAGTAAGGCGTCCTTTATGTTTGAAACTCTTTCCACACTGATGGCATGTGAACGGTCTCATTCTGGTATGACTTTTAATGGGATCTTTAAGGCGTCCTGTTTGTGAAAGATTTTCAGACTGATAGTCAATTAAAGGTTTTTCTTCAGCTATCAAATTTTCGGGTGTCTGGAAATAGTGGCTGTCCTCAACTTCATTCAGTTCTTGCCTCTCCTCTTTCACTTCTATCAGGCCTACAATTAACGATAAATTGACAAAAATCAGAAAGGGGAAATAAAAAAATGTCAAAAAGCCAAGCCCAAATTAAAAATAGATAGCAAAACACATCAAGTAACTTTGTTTTTTTGTGTGTTTTTTAATGGGATGTTTAATGTGCTAAAAAAGTTCATTCTGTCATGATCAACATGCATTCTTCTACACTACTGATACTATTGTCATTTTAAATACATTATCAAAACGGTATTTTTTTTCTGTCAATTCAGTAATATGGACAATAAGTCAAATCACAACATTTAATAAACTTGCCAATAAATTAAATGTATTCCTTTAATTAAATAAACTGTTAGTTTTATAAATTGATTACCACTGTTTTTGAAGGTACATTTGTATTTGTAAGCCACTAGAAAAAATTATATACTGTGAAAATGACCGAATCTTAAAACAAAAAAAAATTTGTGTAGGGTGCTGTACAACAGAAATGGTATGCTTCGTAAATTAAAATATGAATGAAAAATCTCATATCACTTAATAATAATAATAATAATATTATTATTAATTGTTAATCAATATTTTTTTTATTATTATTATTAATTTAAGAGGTAATATATTCACTGTTGAAATAGACTATGAATATTTAAACTAGGGCTGAGCGATATATCGAGTTTGGACAATATCTATATTTTTTTTATAAGCAATATAGTATGAGGCAATACTGTTTATATTGATGCGAGTGCATCTGCAAAAAAACCAGAGGATGCAGAGTGAGCAGTGCACAATCCAATTTGTCCTAAACCAGGCTTGCCGTGATAGACGGTGCAGACGGTGATACCGTTGTTAAGCCGCAACACCGGTTGCGTCACTTGCCCACCGCGTCACCGACCCCCACCGTCGTTTTGATTTTTTTATAGTAATAAAAATAATTTAGTTCAGTAAAAGAACAGACACTACAATTAAAAACTGAACGCAGCTGCTCAACGCAGCGTGCCGCACGACAGTCGCATCACAGATCAGATTTCATTTCTCCAGTGAGGAGAGTGAGGCGACAGACGAGACGAGTGAGGCGAGACGGACGAGACGAGTGAGGCGAGCCGACCGACGAGACGAGTGAGGCGAGCCGACAGACGAGACGAGTGAGGCGAGCCGACCGACCAGACGAGTGAGGCGAGCTGACCGACGAGTGAGGCGAGCGGATGATTTAGTTTCGAAACCAGATGCAAAAGCGCCTGTTTGGCAATATTTTGGATTTTCAAAAGCCTGTTGACTTTTGCCATTTATCTGATTTTGGAAGTTTTTTTAAACATTCGTTTCTTATTTAATTGGTTTCAGTGTTTGCTGATTTCTACTTTATTTAAACTTTGTGTAATTTATGTATTTTATTTGACATCAAGGTGTATGCCGTGCCTCCAAGCTTTCTTACTCGTTTTGCTAATAAACGTTCTACATTTCTTATTTCCAGTTTTGTATACCTATTTAAACTTTATGCAAGTTATTTGTTATTTTATATTAGGCATAGCCTGCCCTATAGCATGGTGTATTTTTATTTGTTTTGTTAATAAAAGTTCTGTTTTATATATAGGCTAAAGTGAGTTCGACGTTGTATTTTGTTGCTGCATTCAAGCAATTGATGGCGAATTGCTGCTAATTCGAAAGTGAAAGTAAAATGCACACGGCGCTTTTACAAGCTATTTAAAAGCGAAGGAAAGCGAGGAGAAGAGGGAACGCCCCAGCACCGTCACAACCCTATCCTTAACATGAGACATGCTTTATATTAAGGGCTTTAAATCCCTGGTAAGATATAGTGAACACGCATAGTTTAAAGCGGCTCGCCCCGTCAGATGCCTTGCGCAGTTTAATGTGTCTGGTGTGCTGTTTTCCTCAGTGCATAACTTACATTTCACTGCTATATTCTCCTTCTGTAAATGTTAGAAAGTCATGGAGATATTTCTTCTTCTGCATGCGATTCTCCGCTAAACTACACAGACTTCAGTGACCGAGCAGACGGAGCGCAGTATTTGTGACTAAAATATACGTTTTCCTAAAATATCTGTACTTGCACAATAAATGTGCCGTATGTAGAACTGTAAACCTACAAGTGTATTTTTATAATAGCACTGATCATGAAGTGACTGTACTGGGGTACTCAAAATAGCCTAATACAATTACTCTGTGCTTTTGTTTCATTTTTTTTTTTTTTTAGTGAATAGAATTTTTGTTTAGTGAAATGCATCATTTTTGTTTTTAGACTGTAATAAGGTGTATGCCGTGCCTCCAAGCTTTCTTACTCGTTTTGCTAATAAACGTTCTACATTTCTTATTTCCAGTTTTGTATACCTATTTAAACTTTATGCAAGTTATTTGTTATTTTATATTAGGCATAGCCTGCCCTATAGCATGGTGTATTTTTATTTGTTTTGTTAATAAAAGTTCTGTTTTATATATAGGCTAAAGTGAGTTCGACGTTGTATTTTGTTGCTGCATTCAAGCAATTGATGGCGAATTGCTGCTAATTCGAAAGTGAAAGTAAAATGCACACGGCGCTTTTACAAGCTATTTAAAAGCGAAGGAAAGCGAGGAGAAGAGGGAACGCCCCAGCACCGTCACAACCCTATCCTTAACATGAGACATGCTTTATATTAAGGGCTTTAAATCCCTGGTAAGATATAGTGAACACGCATAGTTTAAAGCGGCTCGCCCCGTCAGATGCCTTGCGCAGTTTAATGTGTTTGGTGTGCTGTTTTCCTCAGTGCATAACTTACATTTCACTGCTATATTCTCCTTCTGTAAATGTTAGAAAGTCATGGAGATATTTCTTCTTCTGCATGCGATTCTCCGCTAAACTACACAGACTTCAGTGACCGAGCAGACGGAGCGCAGTATTTGTGACTAAAATATACGTTTTCCTAAAATATCTGTACTTGCACAATAAATGTGCCGTATGTAGAACTGTAAACCTACAAGTGTATTTTTATAATAGCACTGATCATGAAGTGACTGTACTGGGGTACTCAAAATAGCCTAATACAATTACTCTGTGCTTTTGTTTCATTTTTTTTTTTTTTTAGTGAATAGAATTTTTGTTTAGTGAAATGCATCATTTTTGTTTTTAGACTGTAATCTTACAATGTTAGAATGCAATGTGATTTTAACCGTTTTTTGCACATAATATCTAGCATTGCCTACATGCTTACATTCACTTTGTTTATTTTACTGCCTTTAATATGAACATTGTGTCACTGGACAACATTGGGCAGGATATATATATATATACAGAAAGCATAGAAAATACAGATATATATCGCAAAATACTGAGAATTTGTTTGTTTTTTTGCCATGTCATTAAACCCTAATTTAAACACATATACATAATTTTTTTTTCTAAGACACATTATGTTAAGTAATAACCAAATGTAATGTAATTGCTTTGAATACCAACCTATGTGTTCCTCGGTTTGTTCATCTTTCACTCCGCAGGGCTCTGCATCAGTCCAGTCTCCAGGCTCGCCTTTAATAACCTCCATGATTTCTCTCGCAGAGTTCTGCGTCACGTTTAAGAGGACTGACTGGAATAGTTTATAGAAAGAAATAGAGAGCAGAGCTAATCACGCGCTGCACCCCGAAACAACACCACGCGCACATTTTGGAGCCATTTACGAGAGACCGGCTGTCGGCACGCAAAGCATTCACTTCACATTAACAACCAACGCGAAATTATCTTCGTAATAGAACCACGTGGAATACATCTGTTTAAAACACCTTCAAACCGCGCTGAACGCTTTACACACCTTAAACCCTGGAGCCGAATAACAGCAGAGGGCGGAGTCCCGGCGCCGGCGTCATGACGTCACAGCTGTTACGCGGGGCAAAATAAAAGACCTCCGGCTAAAGTATCGATTCTAGACGAACTGCACTTTCTGTAAAGAGAATCTTAAAGGGGTCATGTGATGCTGCTAAAAAAAGAACATTATTTTGTGTATTTGGTGTAATGAAATGTGTTTATGCGGTTTAAGGTTAAAAAAAAAACACATTATTTTCCAGATACAGTACATTAAAAGCGAGGTGTGCTGTGATTGGCCAGCTATCCTGTGCGTTGTGATTGGCTGAATACCTCAAGCGGTTATTTGAACCAATTAATTGAAACAATGAATTGGTTCAAATAACTTATGATGATAAATATTTATCAGTTTACGTAATCGTGCACATCACACATACGCAGTTATCTTATTAAAGCACCCAATAATGATGTGAAACGCTGATGTTTTACAATCTAAAGCAAATAAAGTGAATGAACTAGTCTTAACTCACCTTTAAACATTGAGAAACCATAAAAACGTTCATTTGACCCATTCATTCAAGCGCTCAGTTCACGCAAGTCAAGTCACCTTTATTTATATAGCACTTAATACAGTACTGATCGTGTCAAAGCAGCTTTACAGAGTCAAACAGAAACATAATTTGTCAATAATCCAAGAGGACAATAACAGAGTCATTTTTCCAGCTAAAGTCAGTTCATGTCAGGTCTGAGTCCAGCTGTTTCTTCGGTTCGGTGACTGCTGGAGGAGCTGGGTCTGAGTCAGTTCATTCATCGCAGGATCAGGTACACCAGTGTTTGGCTCATTTCTAGTCTCAGAGACTGTCAGGCGTCTGAAAGTGAGTTCTGATTGAGGAACTTGATGCTCCAGCCACTAACTGATTCAGACGAATCAGTCCGATTTGGTGAATAAAATACTATATTCTAGATTTATTACCTAAAAATACTTAGAAAAAAATTTGAGATTTCCAATCAATTATTAAAGTTGTTATTATTCCGGTTTAAAATGATTTTATTTTATTTTATTTTACACATCCGCTCTCGGAACTACATGTTCACGTAGTAAAAAAGGGGGCAGTAAATATCAGACGGACGTGCTTCCTGTTTAGAGTCGGGTCGCCTGTTGCTCGAGAAGCTGCTGATGATGTGAGTCGCTGAGCGGTGTAGAGTCCTGCTGAAGACATGGCTGTGAGCTCGGGCTGCAGTACGGTGCTGATGTCGGTGCGGGTGTCGGTTCGGCCGCTGTCGGTGGGCTCGGACTCGCTGCGGCTGCAGCTCAACATGAACGCGAACCGTGCGGGACTCTTTACGCTCACGCTCAGACACAACGACCGCGGAGGACGCAGCGTGGTACACACTCACTCATTCACACTAACACACTCCCACACTCCCACACTCACTCACTCTCTCACTCACTCACACACACACTCTTACTCATTCACACACACCCTCACACACTCACTCACTCACTCTCTCACTCACTCACACACACACTCTTACTCATTCACACACACCCTCACACACTCACTCACTCACTCTCTCACTCACTCACACACACACTCTTACTCATTCACACACACCCTCACACACTCACTCACTCACTCTCTCACTCACTCACACACACACTCTTACTCATTCACACACACCCTCACACACTCACTCACTCACTCTCTCACTCACTCACACACACACTCTTACTCATTCACACACACCCTCACACACTCACTCACTCACTCTCTCACTCACTCACACACACACTCTTACTCATTCACACACACCCTCACACACTCACTCACTCACTCTCTCACTCACTCACACACACACTCTTACTCATTCACACACACCCTCACACACTCACTCACTCACTCTCTCACTCACTCACACACACACTCTTACTCATTCACACACACCCTCACACACTCACTCACTCACTCTCTCACTCACTCACACACACACTCTTACTCATTCACACACACCCTCACACACTCACTCACTCACTCTCTCACTCACTCACACACACACTCTTACTCATTCACACACACCCTCACACACTCACTCACTCACTCTCTCACTCACTCACACACACACTCTTACTCATTCACACACACACTCACTCATTCACACTAACACGCACACACTCGGTCACTCACTCATTAACTCACTAACACACTCACTCACTCACTAACACGCTCACTCACTCATTCACACTCACACACACACACACACACACACTCACACACTCCCTCACTCACTCACACACACACACTCCCACACACACACTCTTACTCATTCACACACACTCACTCACTCACTCACTCTCACACACACTCCCACACACACTCTTACTCATTCACACACACTCTCACTCATTCACACACACACACACACACACACTCCCACACTCACTCACTCACTCACACACACACACTCCCACACACACACTCTTACTCATTCACACACACTCACTCACTCACTCACTCTCACACACACTCCCACACACACTCTTACTCATTCACACACACTCTCACTCATTCACACACACTCTCACTCATTCACACACACACACACACACACTCTTACTCATTCACACACACTCACTCATTCACACTAACACACACACACACACACACATGCGTTCACTCACTCATTCACACACACTCACTCATTCACACTAACACGCACACACTCGGTCACTCACTCATTAACACTAACACACTCACTCACTCACTCACACGCTCACTCACTCATACACACTCACACACACACACACACACTCACTCATTCACACTAACACGCACACACTCGGTCACTCACTCATTAACACTAACACACTCACTCACTCACTCACACGCTCACTCACTCATACACACTCACACACACACACACACACTCACTCATTCACACTAACACGCACACACTCGGTCACTCACTCATTAACACTAACACACTCACTCACTCACTCACACGCTCACTCACTCATACACACTCACACACACACACACACACTCACTCATTCACACTAACACGCACACACTCGGTCACTCACTCATTAACACTAACACACTCACTCACTCACTAACACGCTCACTCACTCATTCACACTCACACACGCTCACTCACTCACTCACACGCTCACTCACTCACTCACTAACACACACACTCACTCATTCACACTCACACACACACACACACACTCACTCATTCACACTAACACACTCACTCACACACGCTCACTCACTCACTCACACGCTCACTCACTCACTAACACACACACTCACTCACTAACACACACTCTCACTCACTCACACACTCACTCACTCATTCACACTCACTCACACACACACTCCCCCACACATACACTCTTACTCATTCACACACACACTCACTCATTCACACTAACACTCACTCACTCTCACACACGCGTGCACTCACTCACTCATTCACACTAACACACACACACACACACATGCGTTCTCACACTCACTCACACTAACACACACACACTCACTCATTCACACTAACACACGCACACTCACTCATTCACACTAACACACGCACACTCCCACATTCCCACACTCACTCACTCATTCACACACGCACTCACACACACACACGCGCTCACTCACACTAACACACACACACACGCATGCATGCAGGCTCACTATCCTTCCTTTCATACCATCACATCAGTTCTGTCTGTTTATCTTCACTCACACACGCTCACTCACTCACACGCTCACTCACTCACTAACACACACACTCACCCACTAACACACACTCTCACTCACTCATTCACACTCACTCACACACACACACACACACACACACTCTCACACTCATTCACACTAACACACACACACTCACTCATTCACACTAACACACGCACACTCACTCATTCACACTAACACACGCACACTCCCACACTCACTCACTCATTCACACTAACACACTCACTCACTCATTCACACACGCACTCACACACACACACGCGCTCACTCACACTAACACACTAACACACACACACACGCATGCATGCAGGCTCACTATCCTTCCTTTCATACCATCACATCAGTTCTGTCTGTTTATCTGTCAGTCCATGTAAACACTGTTTACCCTTCTATAGTCTAGTCTTGTGTAGCTAAATATAAAGTTCTGTAAACATCTTTATTAGGTTGTTACAAAAACAATATTCCTACATTCTCAGAAAAAGTGGTTCAAAAGCGGTCACTGGGGTTGTATCCTTTCAAAAGCTACTAATGCACTGTTAAGGTACTCGTATGCAAGTATAGTGACCGGTGTGTTATGAGCTGTTCTCTCTCAGTCTCTGGCAGAGTTTGATCTGCGCTCCGTGAAGTATGAGATCAAATCAGCTCGAAGTCACGAAATGCGTCTCATCAAGCCGCCCCACGACTGCCTCACGTTCACCTTCCGCAGCGAGCAGGAGGCGCAGGAGTGGGCCACCGTCATGATGTCATCGCTCAGAGAGTCACACAGAGGTCAGAGGTCACTGCTACATTCAACCCTACTCTATTTTATTTGATACATGAACTTCTAAGGTCTTTAAATGACCGACATGATCAAACTCTGCTGTTAAACCTGTTTCACACTCGATCTACTGCATGCATTCTGTCTCTGATTATAAATACATGCCAGATATGCTTAGCCTCTCTGCTTGTTTAAAGGTCTGCTTCTGATTGTTCATTCACTCTTTTTCTGTCTTAGTTGCCAACATTTCTCATCCTTCAAATGATGGAGAGCAGAATATGCATTGTGGAGCGAATAACTCTGTCTTGTCGCTGTCTATGAAAGGTTTGTTTTCTAATGGGAGTGTTTAAATGGTTTAACCGTTCTACCATTGTTGTAATCACAAAATAAACTTGATCTATATGATAAATGCACACTTTTGTGATGCAGTGCACTTTATTTATTCATGTTTGAGTACTAGCAGTGTAGGAGTGACAGACCGTTTCCAGAAAGCTTTTTTGGTTTGACTGTAAATATTGGTTCTGCATATACAAATAATCAGTATTGGTTCTAAAAGAAACTCAAAATCAGTCAGTCTCCACTACAAATCTTCTTGTTCTCGTAAGCGTTGTGTGACTGCTTCTCTTCTCTTCTGTCTGCTGTAGAGGAGCTGTGTCTAGAGCTTTCTCGAGCGATCGAGGCTGGAGATACTCATGCTGCTGTGCACTACGCCACAGATCTGGCCAAGCAGCAGATCGCACTGAGTATCCAACCAGCGCTGCGGGACACAGACGACACGGAGATCAGGTGTGTGTGACTGAGCGTGTGTGTTGTGTGAGTGTGTGTTGTGTGAGTGTGTGTGTGTGTGAGAGAGAGTGTGTGTGTTGTGTGAGTGTGTGTTGTGTGTGTGAGAGAGAGTGTGAGTGTGTGTTGTGTGTGTGAGAGAGAGTGTGGAGGACAGGGAACCAAAGTGTGTGGCAGCTGACACTTTGAGTCTTTTGATTAGGATGTGTTGAGCTGAGGCGTGCAGCGGCTGAAGATCCACGCGTGACACCGGCACGTCGCTGCTCTTCTGCAGTAATGACAGACTCGTGCAGCTCCTGCTGTCTGCAACAACCTCCATTGTACTGCAAATAACAGTCTCTCGCTCTCCAGTGCTTATTAATAACACCTCTTTATTTGCACAGTGTCGGTAAAGTCTGTCTGTTGGACTGCATGATGATAATGTTTGAAGATCAGTGTTAATCATCTGTGAACCTTCAGAAAACATGCTAATATGAGAATAAACCAGCGTAACTCCTGCGTTGGACATCGAGTGACGACTCGACACGTTATCAGAGTGGTTCATTCTACAAAAGAAACTAAACTAAATCAGAAAATTGACATTATTAACCATATTAGTGAGTTTCTTCAATGTTGGGACATTCTCATAAAAGTCTCATCCAAGTTTCATTAATATGTATTCATATGAGAAGAATTATGTCATGTGTTTTTCTAAAAATCATGCACAATGGCTGTAGGGATGGGACCAAGCCATTTTAAGTCAATGCAATGTACATTTTGTTACAATTTCAATTAATATGTGATTTTTTTTTTAAAACCTCATTACACTTAAAGGCAAATCACATGCACATGACACACACTGGCCATTAATAACACACACAATTATAGGGGGTGTGTGAGGGGGTGTGTGTGAGAGGGTGTGTGTGAGAGGGTGTGTGAGAGGGTGTGTGAGTGAGAGAGTGTGTGAGTGAGAGAGTGTGTGAGTGAG